TACGGACCTGCCAATTCGTATAATAATAGAAGTAGTGACCTCAAAGAAGACTGACGTGATGTGGAAGTGTTATGCTTCTGCACTTCGTCTGATTTCTGTGAGTGAGGTAGCCAGGACCCACTTTATTAAAAGGTGGCAACACATCTGCAAGCCTACGGGTGACGTCAATGGGTGGCGGCTATCACTTAACATCAGGTAAAGGGCCAGCTCGTTTGCCACTTTCACACATAAAAATAAATATCTATAGTAAATAACTATACACATTGGTTTTCTCATAGTTTTTTCTGTGTTGAATTCAATGTAAATACGACCTGGCTTTTCAATTTGTTAATTGAAATTATTTATCATCATTTTGGGAAAAATAAAATTACAACAATAATATTCATTTTATTTATAAACCTAACCAGACGATAAAACAAATGAATAACCCCTCATATTAATTATAATAACTATATCAATCCTGATCCTAAATCGTTTGTTATGAATTCGACGGACCTGTAGCGAAGGGTTTAAAATGTAACGATCGGACATTGTGAATCAATCACAAGCCTTAAAAGTTCGTCAGTGATATATTTAACAGGACATTAAACTAGCGTAGTGCGGTGAAATTGGCCCTTAATCAATCGAACGCTAGCTAGCGTTCAACTGTCTGTTGGATTTCGCACACGGGCGATTTATCGCAACCCGTAAATCTGTTAGGTGCGGCGTTAGGCGCTAATTCGCCAGTCTCGGACCGATGACTCAGCCGTTCGGGCAACGCGTAGCCAATACGTCATTGTCGCCAATACGTCGGGGCGTTCGTCGATTTTCCTGCTCGGGACCTGCGGACGTTGGTCCGACGACGTGCCCAAGACGTTTGCTTTGTTTTGGCGAACAATAGACGAGCGTCTCTGATGCGGTGCCCACTGCCTTCGCTTGTTTTTTGCGGATCGTTACTATACGCCCGTCGGGAAAGTCTGGAGTTAAATTAATGCTATGTAAAACAATATTCGTCCATTTCATTTGACGCAGTAATAAATGATTGAACTGGTCACGTTAAGTATTGTACACGGCCGGTCTGAACATTCTATTCGGTTTCTAGCGATAGGTATTTGACATTGGCATTCTATCTCCAGTAATCGAAAATCTATCTGTAGATAGAATGTTGAAACCGGCCGCTATGAACCAAATCGTTTTTGCAGCTTTGATTTTTTTTTATGGGAAAAGGTGACAAGCCTGGTGGCGGTTCACCTGATGTTAAGTGATAACATTTGTGTTAAGTGAAGACATTTGCGACACCCGTAGGGTCGCAGTTGCGTTGCCACTTTTTAATAAAGTAGGCCCCGGCTACCTCACTCACCAGGCGAAACGCGAAAGTATAACACATCCACTTCACACCGGTCTTCTTTGAGGTTATAGGAGCATAAGCTGTTGCGTGGTGCGTGGTCCCAGGGCCGGATTTAGGGGAGGGAAACCGGAGCTAGGGCCCCGGGGCCTCTATAAAAGAGCGGCCCCCACAATAGTGATTTGGGAAAAACAATTTCAAAATCAGATTGGTAAACACTAGTAAACAACTTTTCCTTTCATATCATTTTGCGCGTTTTACCTTTACCTACAGTACTTTGTACAAACATGATTACATTGAATATTAACAGAAATCAATGGAAAATAATTTGGGGTCAAGGGGCCTCCACTCCTTTGTTGCCCCGAGGCCTCCAGACCTCTAAATCCTGCCCTGCGTGGTCCTACCACCGTTAAATTACGCGTACCGTTAGCACTCCGGGTTGTATTTATGCCGTTGTGAGTTTCACAGGTGATGTTTGGATTAAGCTGTTTCATGTTTTCACGTATCATTATCTCACGTATCATTTATCTCATACCCACAATACGTGGGTATAAGATAATGATACGTGCAAATGAATGTGTTCGAGATGCATCTCGAACTACGTCACAGATGTTAGTTTTAGGAGTGAAATAATATTAGGTTCCAGTTTAAATAATAATATTTTTATTGAAACACTGAATAATATTAAAACGTTTACAAAAACTCACTCGGCCCCACTTTCTTAAGTAATGGAGTTGTCAATTCAAACAGTTTGCTTCCCATGTTTCAATATTTAAACGTAGATATATACTGTCACGCTCACGCGGATCCTCTACGGGTGATTTTAAAAGGTGAAGAGGATCCTGTACTTTCTTTTCTGTACTTTATTGTACACCACAAAGAATTTAATACAATTAGTATAAAATAAGTCTTAAAAGCTAGGTACAATAAGGCGGTCTTATCGCTAAAAAGCGATCTCTTTCAGACAACCTTAGGACGAGGAAAAATAAACTAATGAATAGTGGTGGTGTGCTCAATAAACTAGTTAAAAGAGTAAAGTATCAGCCTACTCATGTCCCACTGCTGGACAATGGCCTCCTCTGTACAGAGGGTATCAGAGTGTAGTCCACCACGCGCCCCAACTGCGGATTGGCGGATTTCACATATTTTCGAAATATTTTTCTTTATTATTATTTCGAAACTAGTCAGGTTTCCTCACTATGTTTTCGTTCACCGCTAGCAAGTGATAATTGAGCACTTGAAATTAACAATTTCATTGGTGCCGGCACCGGGGATCGAACTCAGGTTACTCGAGTATATTGAATTAAAGGCGAGCGCCCGGACACTGCTATCACGGCTAAATATAATAAAATATAATAAACATACATAAACATATAATATATATAAATAACATAAATAAATACACGAGAGAAGAATTAAATCCGAATATTGCCATTGAAAACTACGATTTACAAAGGGATAGATAATGTTTATTTATTATATTATAGACTCCACCTTAACACAAACAATCGGAGTTCGTGTCTAGTAAATAAGCTTCGAACGATGTTCTCGAATTTTTGACAGTGCCTCTGAAGTTCTCGCCGACCGCCGCTCATATATTTATTAATGCAATCTCGTTATATCAGTGATAAATATTGAGCGGGCGAAAGGATCAATTAACGTCAGAAATTGCGCGGGAAACATTTGTCACGGTAACGATCGCATTACGCGAAAATACGAGCGGAACGGTCCATTCCGTTGTTATAAAAGAGCCGCTCTATTATACTCCCCCGTTATCGTACCAGTTTTCCTCGATCCGAAACATATTTTTGTTCCCCTTAGAAATGAGGTTAGTGAATTTTGAATGCCCAAGCCCGCGCCAACTTTTTTCGGAACCATGAATATCTCTTCCCATCCGACTTCAGAAGAGGAAGATCCGGTTGTATTTTTTGTTCCGTTTGTCATCTCTATCTATCAGCTCATGTAAGTAAGAGAGTGGTGATACCTCATTGTCCGGGCTAGCTTTTAATTCAGTATACTAGAGCAACCTTCACGACCGAGTTCGATCCCCCGGTATTTATGTTTCTCACCTCATTACTTTCAACTGGGTGAACCGATTTTAATGATTATTTGTTTGGAAGCTGTTGCTTCCCATGTGGTCCCATATTAATTTCATTTTTTTTTAAAACTACTTTTGCAAGTTTTGGGTTCGGTTTAGCTCCCATGGTCCGACACTTCATTATTATTGGGAATTGGACTCCCGAAACACATCAGGGAACTCCACAAAGTCAAATGGAAAATGTACAGTGAGTGAGGCATTTGATGTCGGTTTTGTTTTTTGTTAGTAAAATGTTACTTATATACATTTGTACTTTGATAAATTCGCTTCGTATTGTTTTCGATTCGAGGGAAGTGCTTTGGTAGGTACACTATCATCGGTTGTATAATGATGCAATATTTAGATTTCCAATCAGTCAACAGCAGATTAAACTACTATTGTTCTCAGGTATTAAAGAAAATAAAAATAACTGCTCCACAAATACAAACATCATGTTTGTACAGCGCGACGTTGGGACATTTTCTTAGGTTATGTAAGACAATCTGTTTATAAAAACACGATGTTCTGTGATGATGACAATTTTATCGTCAAAATTAGCTTAGTAAATAAAAAGAAATGATAACTGTATATTTGAGAGACTTAAAGGAGATTGTTACCCCATAAAAAGAAAAGCCATATTATCACACAACAAATTCGCATATGTATTTGAAAAATTTGGAATGCTACGTATCATTAATATGCGCACATGGGTTTTATTCGTTTTAGTTTAACTTCAAAAGGCATAATCCAGTTTAATCTCGAAGTTTTCTGTTCTCATCTAGAAGTTATTGGAATTTACATTCAAGTAGCTCCGTATATAACTAATGCAATTTAGTGCGCTACACCAGTCGACACTTGTGTATAATAAATATAAAAGTATGTGTTTTGCGAAAATGGCACTACGATCATAAGTTATAAGACCGATAATACTTTATTCCTTAAAGTGCAAACATAGTTCAAAAGAGTTTGCATCTAAACAGCCGCGAAATTGAAAACACTCGCTTTCACAGGTGAGAGATTAAATTTAATTATATACAAAATATGTCTGGTAGGCCTGTAATATCAAGCAAATCAAGCCGTTAGTGATACTAATATATTTAATAAACTGGTTTTAGTGGATATAAACTAAATGTTATATTCCGCCTCAACAGTTTTGCTAACTGCCGTTATAACCTACCAGTATAATGATGAGGTATGTCTCCCAAACAGTAGACAAGTTCACAATAATTCTAGTTCTGTTTTTTCTACTTATGAATCGATATTTTTTTTTACGGTCAAGAAGAGAGCGTGGCCGTTCGTCAAAGGATGGCAACTTATTTTTGACTCCTATGGTGTTGCGAGTATCTATAGGCAGCGGTCTATCCCGTGACCGTAAACGATACAAAGGGTTCGAAACGTCGGGAATTACAAAAACACAATAAAAACGCGATAAAATCCTTAAACTAGTTTCATTTAATATGTATAATATTCGCGTAAAATCAAGAAGTCAATAAACAAAACATTACTTTAATGCTGGTTAAAATACAAAGAGGCGTAAATCCTCAACGATATCGGTTATGATAAACTAAACCTCACATCTGACCAGACTATCTTCCACAGATCCGCCTTCGACAATGTGAAAGTAACAAAAGTCGCCATCAAGAAAATCTCTCCGTTCGAGCACCAGACATATTGCCAGAGGACACTACGGGAGATAAAGATCCTCACCCGATTTAAGCACGAAAACGTAAGATATTTCACGATATTTCTCAACCGTAAAACTTATTTGCAACATTATTTACTTTATGTACTATAGCGATATTCGTTTGGCCATTTGCAAAAGCCGGTTTTGATATTTCTCTTGCTTCTCGCATTGTCGCCTTTCCCGTCACAAAAGATCGTGTATTTCCAATAAAGGAACGGCGATATTTTATATGTCGGATTCAAACATTTGATATGAGCGCATTCTTCGTTATTCACGTGAAATACATTGATATTCTTTATTGATATGAGACTTTTATCTTTTTACATTTGTTATAGCTTTGTACTTGCTATTAAAAATATTACACTCAATGCACCGTCGTTTTGTTCCAGATCATAGATATTCGGGACATTTTAAGAGCAGAGACTATAGACCAAATGAAGGACGTATACATCGTTCAATGCCTGATGGAAACCGATCTATATAAACTGTTGAAAACTCAGGTAGGTTCATGGTTCACGTTACTATGGAGAAATTCCATTGACGTAAGAATATTAAGATTACATTACCCTTCTATTTGCAGAAACTTAGCAACGATCATATCTGTTACTTCCTGTACCAAATCCTGCGAGGTTTGAAATACATCCACTCCGCCAATGTTCTACACAGGGACCTGAAACCCTCTAACCTACTACTTAATACCACCTGTGATTTAAAGGTAAACATAATATCTGACTTAGCAAATGTGCTGTGAAATCGTTTCACGCTTAGACTTACGAGTTGTTTACAGTCCATGTCTCCAAATGTAAATGTATTAACTTGAAGAAGAAATGATAACCTTTCTGTTTTTTTTTTTTTTTGTTATAATTTTGTATTGAAAGTTTTCACGAGTAATAATCATAGTTTTCTCGAAAACTGCTTTATTAAAATACAGTTTGGAATGAATGATGTTAAGGAAAAACAAAGTAATGATATAAAAAAGAAATAAAAAATTCTGATTTCACCAATCTGAGATGTATCCAGAATCTGATCTACCTTAAAGACTTAAACGCATCACGCTTTTTTCATATGAATATTTGGGTGCTCTTTGACTCACGTCGTGCACTTGCAGCAACATTATGTCTAAATTGCTCGTAGACGGTCTGTTTCTGGTGGGTTATAGTTTCCCCCGTTATCGCATACGCCTTATACTGGATTAAAGCGATAGGCACTCGAGCTCTGATAAGTATTTTGTTGTTTACGTGAATATACTCAAAATGACGGTTTTTGATGAGTAACTAGTCACCGTGGTTAAACCCACCAGACTGTTACTTTCACTATTCCTCGATGGTCCAGTGGATCTCGGATATCCAATGAAGTACTTCAACAGCGTAAGCCTCACCTAAAGAGCTCCATTAAACTCTCCCATTTCATAAAATTTTCCTATAATGTGTTTGCAGTGTACCGAAGATTGGCATTCGACGACACAAAAATGCCGATTAGAACAATTAATTACCTGAAATTAAATTATTCTAAACTTTCCCAAAGGAATACCATCAGATTTCCCTAAGAAATGCCATCGGAATGTACGGAAAGGAATGCCATTAGACTCTTACAAGGCATAGTCCTCTTCTGTGAATGTAACCGAATTTTATGCTACACAACCGTGGCCGGTTCAATCTACATCGTCACGCCTTTAGTTTGTCCGTTCGTTCAGATTTGCGATTTCGGTCTGGCGCGCGTGGCCGACCCGGACCACGACCACACGGGCTTCCTCACGGAGTACGTCGCGACCCGCTGGTATAGGGCGCCGGAGATAATGCTCAACTCTAAGGTAAAACAGACAGGGACAATTTTTATTATACAGCGTGTCGTTACCATCGCGACAATAAATGAACACACGTCTAACGCTACTTGCCAATAATCATAAAAAAATATTAACGTTATACAAAATCCATAATTAAAAAAAAATATTTTTCAAACAAACTAATTAAGTAAAAAAGAAACAAAATTTGTAATATCCTATACAACTCGCGCCACAGCGTCGCATTACAAGCCTCTCCTTCTAACTGTATGTTTTGTCTCTTTTAAATTCATTCAACCCATTCATATGCTTTGTGACCTATAAAAATGAACTTTACGTTACAGTTTTATACGTAAGGGTGTTCTAAAATTCTTTGTTTTGGAAAATTGAATAACTCTGTAAATATTGATGTTTAAAGAGTGTTAATGTTTAATACAATTTTAAAAAGTTATCCTCTATATGTGTGTTCATTTATTGTCGCGGTGGTAACGACACGCTGTATGAGAATGATGTTAGGTGACTTGCAACACCCGTAGGGTTGCAGATGCGTTGTTGATGTTTTAATAAAGTGGGCCCCGGCTACTCCATTCACCGGAAGAAACGTAGAAGTATAACCCTTCCACTTCACGCCTGTTTTCTGAGAGATCGTGTTACTTACCAGGACGGATATGTCCGTTCGTGCAACAGCGAAGATTTGCGTGGCACTATTGGGGGTTTTCACGCTGAGGTGATTTAGGCTAATAACTTTGTTTGCATTAGCCATATATGTAAACTTTAAGGATACTCGTAGAGCGAAAATGTGGATACGATGTTTTTGAATGTGAGAAATACGATGAAAAGAAAATTATTCATGCCATTTCTGTTAAAAACCTCGCCTCCGTTAATCCTAAGTCAGTTGCAGTAGTTTGGTCCGTTGATGTCGTTTGGCCATCAATACCTAAAACAGGTTACCATCTTTTGATTAATTGAAAGTGAATGGCAGAATCTGACCGCTATTGTTGCTAAAATACTTGGCGCCAACAGTAAATGACCTAAGTATAATATGAAGGTCAATATTTTCATCTCAATTTAGACTTTATATCTTTAACAGATTAGTGAAATGTTTTATGGAGGCATATTACTATAATTTAGGCCTCATTCTTACTTAGTAATTAGAGAATTCGCTAGTCCCGCAAATTTTTATAATAAGGGACAATTGTTGGTGGGTGATGTGTGTACATTGTACGTCTAATGTTTATACGCAAAATAATAGATGCTTCACAAGCGATAAGCTGAGTAACTTGCGTACTCTGTCACGACTCTTCCTCGTTGCTTAAATTTACTCGTTTTAGGTTTCTAGAAAATTCCCAAGGGTTGTCAAATATTATAAAGAACGGAACTGTCCCGAGTTTTGTTTGTGAAGAATTGTGTAAATCTCGAAAATGTGATAAAACTTGTAGTTTGTTGTGTAATTCTAAGGTCGCTGTAGCATGGAACGGAATGTATTGTTCGCGCTCCACTACTGAAATTAATGTAACGCGTGTCTACGCTCTCCGTTCGCGCAGGGTTACACCAAGTCGATCGACATCTGGTCGGTGGGATGCATCCTGGCGGAGATGCTCTCCAACCGGCCGATATTCCCCGGCAAGCACTACCTCGACCAGCTGAACCACATCCTAGGCGTGCTCGGCTCGCCTAGTCAGGAGGATCTGGACTGCATCATCAATGAAAAGGTACAGGCGCGCATTCGATTAATATATTTTTTTTGACTGGATCAACCTCTTTTTGGGCTTTTTGAGCCACTGTTGGCCTTAGGGGCCTTTGCAGTTCCGACGGGCTCGGGGCGCCTAGCCTGTACCTCGGCGTATTATTATTACGCGTTATGGTGACTAATCTCGAGGGCTCCCGAAGGAGCCTCGGCTCGGGCCGTCACGCTATTATTATCATTACCGGTTTGGGAGGCCGCCAAGCTCTTAGGGCGCTTTGGCGGACGCTCCATGGAGTGACTATGCTCAAGTGTCCCCGAGAGGGGACCTCGGCTTGGGCTGTCACTCAATACTCGTTTGGCAATCGGTCGCTATAATCTGACTGGGGGATCAACCACTGTTGGCCTTGGGCCTTTACAGATCCACCGGGCTTCAGGTGGCCGGGTGCTGAGGGCGCCTAGCCTCAGCTCGGGCTGTCGCTCTATTACGATTATCTTATAGTCTGCTTTTAGGGTTATTTTTTCTTGTCTCTATTAGCTGTTTTGTAAAATCATAAGAAATAAGAATTAATAACTTTTTAAATGCTACATAATCACTATGATTGTTCATACGTCACACTTTTACTCGTCTACCGAAACTTTGTCAACCATGCTAAATTATTCTCTGTAAATTATTTCATTAATCATTTTACTATGTAGCTGGAAACAATTCGCAAATGGAAGAGTAAATAACACTAATTCAAAGTAAAACAAAATTAAATTAATGCAAATTATGTTAGTAATTATTTTTTGTTTTTAGGATTGTTCATCCTTTTTGAGTCGTCGGCTTATCGTTGAACATCGTGATAAAACCTATTAGTTTCTGGGCTATTTTCCGCCACGTTTTATATGTGTTCATTGTGCCACAATGTTCATGCACCTTTAGATTTCGACCTACTGGTCGTTTGCCGTTTGTATTTCCAGTTAGTATGACCGTCACTATGTTATCTGTCGGCTTAATGCCCGAAGTACTTGAGAACTCACTTCAGGCAATCTTTGACTCAGTCTTTTTTCCCTTAAACACGAATAATTGCATTTTAAGCCTAGGTCAACAATATATATCTTCGAACTTTTCGTTCTTATTTAAATATGCTTGTCTAATCCAATTCCCGATACCGAAAATATGTATAGGAGTTATCTTATCTCCGCAAATTATTTTCTGATACCTTGTAGATGTAAAATCTTCATTTCATTTGAACGATCGTTGTTTATATCAATGCTATTTCTAAATCAGTGATTTAAAAGGAACTCTTCAAAATATGAAACAATAATTAATATATTAACGGAGATTTTTCGAGCTAAGTAAAAGCACACTCGTTGCGGAATTGTTGTTAGGTTTCTTAAATTTGAAAAATAAAGCGCCGTCGTATTGTCGGTACACATCGAAGCCGGATGGAGTTTCGTACAAAAGTTATTTCATTGTTTCATTTCAAACGCCGACGCTGTGTTGGCTTGCCCGTTGAAAATAAAAATGTCCAGGGGATGGGGAGAAATTTCCAGTTCCAAGCTTCTGTTTCCGTATTTTTCGTTATTTTGGTACGTTCCAATAACCGACTTTTGTGTATCGATTGATGTTTCATTTTTATCTTTCGTATGCTTAATACTCGTATATCTTTTACATATCAAACTTCATCTACTCTGACAGCGCTGACAGGGATGTATCAGAATTTCCAACTGCTATCGGGGAACATGACCCTTATCCCACCTAGTTGGGGTCGGCACAGCATGTGAATCATGTTGTTAATTGGCTTTGGTAAAAAACCTACGTACGTTTTGGTTAGGTTTTTGAATCATGTTGTGAATGGGTTTTGCGTAGGTTTTTTTACTACCGGCCGCCTGCCTGCCGTCAACACTTATTGGGAACAAACAGTCACGTCTGGAATGATTATCTGTGGGTCATACAGATACTTGTTCGATGTGTGAGTCGAACCCACGACCCACTGCGCCGAACCCTACAGCTTCTGCAACTGTGCCATCGAAAACACCGAAAAGATATAAAATAAGAATAATTAATATCAAACATTGTCATATACAGAAAAGAGATTCATTATATTATGTAAATGACAATATATTTGTCACTTTATTAAAGCAAAGAAACTCCTATGTGAGTGTTTCTAATAAGACCGTTTAATACATTTTTATTTGCTCGTAATATTTTATACCTTTGTTCATTGGTATCGTAGAATATGATACCAATGTACGTACATATTATTCCAATCCAAGTCAATTATGTACTTTGGTCAATTTTAAAATTTAGAATTGCACAATATTTGAAAAACTGTTCTGAATCGTATATGTTGCAGGATTCGTATTTATCTATCGTGTTATTGTTAATATCGTATGGTGTGTGATATTAATTTGACTTATTTTTCTAAATGACTTATATCTTGATATATAACCAGTATTCAATATAAAATTCACTTGATACTTACCGAAATTCGATCGTAGTGCTAAATCACATTGCCGTTACAAATATAACATCATTTTTCGATCTGACCGCGCCATCTTGTTTTTATGCACAAAATGGCGTGGTCACTGAAAAGTACGTTATGCACATAGGCGCGCGGATATTTGGAGTCGCTGCCGTACAAGCCGCGCGTGCCGTGGGCGGATCTCTTCCCGGGCGCGGATCCTCGCGCTCTGGACCTGCTGCATCGCATGCTCACCTTTAATCCGCACAAGCGGATCACCGTCGAGGAGGCGCTCGCCCACCCCTACCTCGAGCAGTACTACGACCCCAACGACGAGGTGCGTATACCATAACGTCAAATGTACTCTCGTATGGAATATACAACCGAGTACAGTCGAGAGATAATAAAGAGAGTGTCGGCTCTTGTGTTCTGTTGTTTGCTTACGTACACTCGCGTACACAATAACTTTCGTACACTCCTGTTCAATACTCTTAAACGAGTTCCCGACGTCGACTGGCATATATGCAATGTCAATTTGTAAAGATCGTATAAATTGAAGTTCGGTCGTTTTCAAAACTTCGTTTCAAAAAGATTAAGTGATATAAACAAGCATACAAAAGGTACAGAAATTCAGTTACTCTTATTCTCTTATCTTATATGTTATAAAATTTAAAAATAAATAGCCCTTTTTAAATAGAAAAATTATATTATATATCTTTTATTTTTAAATATATTTTGATCTTTAAGCAAATTTGGCATAAGTAGTTTTAGGTTTGTCATGAATATTAGGTTTGTCATACGGGTTAGAAACCGGCGGTTATTGAGAGTTATCGACATATATTTAAAAACGGCTATGTTTCATAATTATATTTTTTAATTAAAGTAGTTGTTATGCAATATGGTTGCAGCATTTTTAATAAATAGGAAGTTGGGGTTGAGTGACTTCGATTATTACTTAGAGCCGATAACAATTATATTAATGGCGCTAAATAGAAAACCGTGCCTTGTTAAAATGGCTGCCCCTTCTGGTTTATTTGCTCAATGGCGTATTTTATTCAAGAGCAATAATAAAGCTGTTCGCATAGGCGCGGCCGTGAGCTTTGCTGTTTATTTTCGCTAACGTCATTGCGAGTGCTGCGTCGCTAAACCCTCAATATCCAACTAGCTTTCGTTTGCGTCTTTGCTCGCGTTATTACATTAGCAATAAAAAAGGTGTTTTTTTACGAGATAGAATGTGTACTTCACGTTTATACAACTTATGTGTTATTCCCGTTCCAATTATCTTGCATATCTATGAAAGTTCGGCGTAAAGTATGAACAACAAACACCCACAGCTTAGAATTTTATGGTATTAACTAGTTTCATTAGATTATGTACACATGTGCACAAGTATATGTACTTATATTGTAATTTCTTATTGTATATTTTGTTATGTTGATGTTGCTTAAATGACGAATTTGTCTTAGATTAAATTGATGTAATTGATAAAATACGGCAATTCCATTACCTACTTAAATATTTAGAACGGGGGTAAATGCCATTAATTAACTTGAAGTCTGCTTATGCATAATACGTGTCTAATTAATACGTAATAATTTTTCATTCTAGTGATATATTGATCGGTATAATTGCTATAACCCGTGTGTAGAACAACGGTTATCTATATGATTTTTTTGGTGGAATAGAAAAAAAAGAGCCGGAGAATATCGCTAATTCTATTTTTATATTACTTCATCATATCATCATCAAAAATGCCAATAATCTCTAGTTGCATACATATATCTAATAATATAACTCGTTAACATGGCGAACACATTTCACTGTATGCACTTTCTTCTTGCAGCCCGTTTCGGAGGAACCATTCCGGTTCGCGATGGAGCTAGACAATTTGCCGAAGGAAACTCTGAAGAAGTACATATTCGAGGAAACCCTGCTATTCAAGCAACAGAACGAGGGCGCGTAAACCAAAACTGAATGACCCACCCGCAATAGCCTGCACTCAAGAACAGCGCGGGAAACAAAATGGCGGTCTGTCGAAAGCGCGCGTTTTAACTAATTTTATTTTCAGTCTCTAGTTTGTAGGTTCCGTGTAAATTTTCGTATCATTTGCGACTGTCTTATACTTGCGTTTTCGTTTAAGTGATTTCCCAGTTGTTACGAGCGAGAGTTTTTAGGTTACGTCACTAGGATCGTGAAACAACTGTTTACTTTGAATTTGGATTTATTACGTCACCGGTACTCAATGTTTATCTATGACAGAGTGGTGTGGATTTCCAAATTTATGTCGCTATGATATCTTATCAAATGACATGATATTGTGATTAGTAGAATTCTCGGAGGAGCTCCGAATGTTTCTGCACTTTTCGGGAAAGCATTATGAAGGAAAACTTAAATGAACGTTACATGTGAGTCGAACGTTTGTTCCATAACTACTATGCAGTCTTTATGTTATTGCATATGGTTCAATTAGAAGGGCTTTTTTCATATTTTTAAAAGAATTTCATAATGATGTTTCAATAAAAGATTCATAGAAGATTGTTGTTTAATAAATATTACCAAAGGTTATGATGGTTACTTAGAGATTACAGCGGTGCGCATTCTCACGGTCGAGTTTATTTTTTATGAAACAATATTGAAACATTTTCGAACGATCTCGTACATTGAATAGATCCAGTGTACGAAAGCGACGGTAGGCGTATATTGAGATGTAGGTAAATTAGATAGATAGTTTTCTGAAATTTATCAACGTTAAATATACCTAGTCGTGCGGTTTCTAAATGGATGTTTTTGGGGAGGTTTTGATGGCATTGGCGGGAACGTATTTTACACAGTATTACATGGTGTCGGATTCGCGATCGCGCCGCTTATTAACTTTTGAACGAATGAGTGAACGCACGCCGGCTATTTGTCAGCGTCGAGTTGCAACGGACCGAATGGCGAATGGTGTATGTAAATATTTTTACATTTTGAATCGTATTTTTCATGTGTCACTGGATAATTACTTAGAGCACTACCTATCGATTCCTTTCAATCCGACGTTTGAGGTCTGACTGCGGGTCGCATTTCGTCGGCCCGATCGATCTATCGATAGGTTGTTGGGAGCGCTTAGTTAAAAAACGGTTACTACGTTTTTTTTTTTTCTTAATAATTCTCTCGTCTTCCGTGTTTTTGCATGTTCGCGCACAATAAATACGTTTAGCATAGTCGTTTTCATATCAGATAATAAATAGTGGTTCTTAGTGTACTAGTTTTCCGTTCGACGTTTGTGCCCGCGCTGCGACCGGTGCAAGTGTTTCAACGGACGCCGTTGGTTGAAGCATCGCGCGCGGGTTTGTTCACCATTTATAATCTGTTGTTACTCTCTGTGTATATCTATGAAATGTGTGGCGTTCGCCGTGATAAATAATTAAAAAAAATTATCTATGAAATGTTGTTAGTCTATGGCCGCTTCAGCGGCCAGTTTCTTACTAAGACTTGATTAACGTTGTCTGTTGAAAATGTTTAGGGAGCATTTTAGATTATAGGCGGTCGTGGAGATGTTTTCGAAAGCCGCGATCGCTTCGTTTCGAATTCAATTTTTAGTGCGCTCGAGCGTATCGAGGTCAAAGGGCGTTCTCTTGGAAAATGTCTACGGCTCTCGGGGCATATTATGTAAATTTATTATAATACATTTATTGTCATCGCTCTTTAACTCTATATCGGTGTCACCACACTCGTTATTATCTATGCATTTGAATTTTTTTTTTTTAAAGTCCTTAAATGTTATGTTATCTCGTAATTGTATGTCTTTGAGTTAGACTTTTAAGTTGTATTTATGAATATGTCACGGACAGTGTCCTTCGTAGAAGCGTGGTGATAGACTTTATATGAAAAAAATTACCTTTACTCGTTCAATAATAATGGCTTTACTTGTTTTCTCTTCTTTCTGTAATTCTGTACCCAAAATAAGGCGATGTTATTTTAGATATCCTCAGTTATTATTTCTATGGCGTAAGATTTTTATTATTGCTTAAGACGAGTCCTTCATTAAGTTATCGATTATTTTTTCGGTTATAACATAAAAGCAATCTTATGATCAATAATGCATAATACTAGTATTTGTACTTTGTCAGTAAGATCTCTGTTAATGTTTGAGAGCTGTCAACTTTGATGTGTTAAAACTATTTTCTAAAAAAATTTGAATGCATTTTAAGTAATAAATTTAAAATTTTAAAATCAACTCATCGTCTGTATTCGTATCGTTAAATAAAATTAATATTTATTCGTGTTTATTTTTAAAATGCATTTTAAAAAATATAATTAAAAATGTTTAAATCCAATTATACTTTTTCCTATTTCTCCATTTGCTGCTCAATTTGAGGCAAATATGTATTTCAATTACTTAATATGACACCAGAGTTCATCACGTATTTATTGTTAAAATATGAGTGTTGCCATATTTTCTTAAGTAATTATGTACAAATTGGATATTGTAAGATCATTTGTTATCTGTCAACAGTTGAATATTACGGAAATAAAATTCAAATAAAGATATGTTGTGTTTTATTTTCCATATACCTGCATTAATTAAAATATTTATATTATTTACTTACGGCCCGCCCATATTCGCATGTTAGGGTATTTAACAAAAATTTTTAAATTAAAAAATTATCATACACACACATAAAACCTTCCGAATATTTCGTCTTTGGTGAATTTTATGAATTTCTTCATCTTTTAATGAAATACCCTTGAAATTAGGTCATGAAGATCGAAAGACCGCTGACCAGATTATAGTTCTTTAATTTAATGGACATTCGGGGTTACACGTAAAAGTTACAAATATAAGTCTGGTCTCCCATAGCTTCGGACATAATCATCGCATCTTTGGTTTTTTAATGCAGATGACTCTGAGAACCTGTAAATGATTATGACGTTGCAGATTACGCGTTGACCGATATTTGATGGGCCAATGTCTTGATTTTAGGCGTCTCTAATATGAATGTTTCACCAGCCCTCAGTCTCTGGTGATCACGACATAATATGTAATGCAATCTTTCTGATATCTTTTTGCCATCATATCGACAATGTATTGAATAAAAACCGGCCAAGTGCCAGTCGGACTCGCACACTAAGGGTTCCGTACCGACTTCACAGAAAACCGGCGAAAAATAGAAGTGTTATACTTCTACGTTTCGTCTGGTGAGAGAGGTAGCCGGGGCCCACTTTATTTACAGATGGCAACTCATTTGCAACGCTACAGGTGTTGCAAATGTCCATGGGCGGCGGTTATTACTTAACATCAGGTAAACCGCCAGCTCGTTTGCCACTCTACCACATTAAAAAAAAATCATGTTTTAATATCTTTATTCAATATAGAAGTATTACACTTATATATTGTCAAAAACACTACTACTGTCAACATTATCTATAAAAATGGCAAAAAAAATCATGTCTGTTTTATGGGAGCCCCACTTATTTATACTTTTTTGTTTTTTAGTATTTGTTGTTATAGCGGCAACAGAAATACATGGTTTGTGAAAATTTCAACTGTCTAACTATGACGGTTCATGAGATACAGCCTGGTGACAGACATACGGACATACAGACAGACAGCGGAGTCTTAGTAATAGGTTGCCGTTTAACCCTTTGGGTACGGAACTGTCTGTCTGTCCCTTTGTCAACAGGCTGTATCTCATGAACCGTGATAGTTATACAATTGAAATTTGATCTGGGTATTTGTTTCCCAGGGAAGGTTGACGTCAGGCAGGCGGCTGGTTGTAAAAATATATGTATAAGGAGGTTGTGGCGGCTCCTCAATATTGGAGAGACTAACTTTTCCAGAAGCACAGCATTTACCATTGGCAGCACATACCATTTGGTTCATCGACCCATTTTTGGCAGAACACTTAGAGCAGATCTTATTCATGGCTCCGATTTGGACGGAAGACTGTTGAGCATAACGCATAAAAGCTGATCTGTTACTGTGAGCTAAAACTCGATTACGAACGCTAGTCGTTGATGTTTGTTGTCTTTCTCTCTAATCTCGTGGGAGTTGGGAACGCTCAGAACTCGATTCCCTAGTGTGAATTTGTATATTTATATTATTATGCTCTTTAAGCCGCTTCTAACACTCAACTTGACTCTCTCCGACTTGTAAGACGATTTTCAGTTTCCGGATTTCCGAAGTTCCGATGTTCCGAAGATTCCTCATTACGACATATTTTTGATGCCCTCGCCTGGGAACTATTTCTAGAAAGATGAGATTTTGATCTTTTGGGCATTTTAAACATATAAAATATTCAATACATACAAACAATCAAATCTATATGGTATAGATTATAAACCAAAATAGAACACCTATTTTGCGATTTCGGTGGTACATTCAGTTTATCACACGTGGAAGGTTTACACCTCTTAAGGATTAAAAGCTGGTATAAACCTTCCATAAAGTCTGCTCTGATTTTAAGTATCTCAGCTCATTGGTTCAAAAGGACGGCTGGAGGAAATGGCGACAGGTTTCAGGAGTTACATGTGACCTGCGGATGCCCCTAAAACTCAAAAGAGAAGATTTACAACGTGGTGTGTGACCTGTCATGATGTATTTTGGGCAGCAAAAGAGACGTATGAGAGGAATATCCATGTGACAAAGGATAAAGTACGAAATGAATATATAAGGGGAAGTTTGTAAATGGCACCAGTGACAGAAAACAAGGAGTGGTAGGTTGACATGGTACGGGCACATTATGAGAAGGGATGAAAGTCATTTGACTAAAAGAGTGATGGATATGAATATGGTTGGAGAGTGCACAGCTGGACTGTGTGAAGAATGATATGTCTGCGAATACTGACCGTATTGAGATGGCGGCTGATAGAGGAAAGTGGAAGGAAAGGACATGTTGTGCCGACCCAACCTAGTGTGGGATAAGGGCAGGAGAAAGAAGACGAATTAAAAATATTGAAAAAGGGTTAATCACAGGA